TCGGGGTGAGCTTATATCTTTAAAAATGTCAATAGTTCACAAGATACAAGGTCATTTCATAATTATGTATCTAGAGATAGAGCATGTGTACTTTCTTATATATTGACGTTTTTAAAGATATAAGCTCATCCTGACATTATACTCATCGAGACCTTTCATTTGAGTACCCGGATCAATTTTTCATATATTTATATATATGTATGTATGAAAAATATATCAAAAATGCATGTGGGCACTCAACTGAAGCTATTGATTGAGTGTAACCTCGGGATGAGCTTATATCTTTAAAATATTGTTATATATATTACATAATTAAGAAATGACCTTGTATCTTGTGAAATATTGACATTTTTAAAGATATAAGCTCATCTTGACTTTACACTCATCGAGAGCTTTCATTTGAGTACCCATATCAATTTTTCATATATTTTATATATTTATGTATATTATATATATGTATATATGAAAAATATATCAAAAAATCATGTAGGTACTCAAATGAAAGCTCTTGATGAGTGTAACATCAGGATGAGCTTATATGTTTAAAAATGTCAATAGTTAAAAAAGTACAGTGCAATTCAACAAAAGTTATTATTGCTAGTTATTTAATTCTTAATATTTTTTTAGATTAAGCGAGTCAGGTTTATACGACTATGTTGATCCAGCGAAGAAATCAAGACTAGACCCTCGAGACATTGTCGTTGAAAATGATGAAAGAGACAGAGTTCGTGACAGCGAAGCTACCAGCGCCGGAGAAGATGACCCACCGAGGGTCAGCGATACGCGCTCGGATTCCGCTGTTAAGTTTGGTAATGTTTCTTCGCAGGGGCGAACTATACTACGAAGGCGCAGACAGTTTGATTCGCAAGGTATTATTTTATAAATATTCTTTAATTATTTTATTTAAAGTTAGAAAAAGCACTATCTTCGCTTCGTGTTTTAGAACACACTCTCTGCTCGTTTGTCAACCTCTTACTACGTCATATACCCCCTCCACAATTTTATAATTAAACATTCTTCCAACAGATGGCGTTGCGCCTTGAAAAAAAATTTTTTTGACAAAAAAAATTTTTAAATATTTTTTTTCGTTAGAAAAAAAATATTTAAATACAAAAAAAAAAATATTAATATCTTAAGACAGTATTATTAAATTATTTTTTTATTTAGTTAGTTTATTTTATTAGCTTACATTGATTGATTGATTATTGAAGCCTTTAAATTTATTATTTCATCATTTAGCTTTTAAAGTGACTTACCAACAAGCTATACAATTTTTTTTTATTAAAAAAAAAATATTACTAGATAATTAAAATTATTCATTAATAAATAAATAAAATAGTTAATAAATAAATAAGTAAATAAAACAATGAATACTTTAAGATTAGTACAATTAGGAATAACAGTAATAATATTAATATGGTTTTTAATATTTTATTCCGGTGTTTGTGTTGTGTTATATTTTTGGTGGAAAGGAGACTTTAATGAATCATAATTAAAAAATTTTATTAATAATTAATAATTAATAAAAAGGTTCAAGAAGAAGAGGAAGATCATACGCAAGGTCATACAGTACAGAAGACATATCATTCCAAATAGCCCGTCAAAGTCTTCTTCGTAGTGGATCCGGGGATTCCCCGAGGATTCCCGATTATCGGCGGCTGGTTTTCATCAGCTCGGACTCATCGTCCGGGCGAGATGAAGAGGATGACGCTGACAGCAGCTGTTCCGGGTCATCTTACTTGACTGGCGGGATCCCACCTGGAACAGCGAGGAACACCAGCAGTCACAGTCAGAGCCTCGAGGACTGTGACTGGGATTATTTTGAAAGCAATAGCTTGCCTTCTTTGCCATCTGCGTTGTGCAGTGATGCTTCGGGTCATCCGATTAATGATATTAAGGATGCTAATGTTTGGGATTGTTGTCTTGGTCGGCGACGTGGATCTACTTCTTGTCAGGTGTGTATTTTATTATTATTATTATTATTATTATTTATATTATTAAGAGAATAAGAAGTCTCCAGGATACATAATTAAGAAATGACCTTGTATCTTGTGAACTATTGACATTTTTGAAGATATAAGCTCATCTTGATGTTACGGTCATCGAGACCTTTCATTTGAATACCCACATCAATTTTTCATATATTTTATATATTTATATATATTATATATATATGTATATATGGAAAATATATAAAAAATGCATGTGGGTATTCAAATGAAAGGTCTTGATGAGTGTAACATAAGAATGAGCTTATATCTTTAAAAATGTCATTAATTAAGAAATGACCTTGTATCTTGTGAACTATTGACATTTTTAAAGAGATAAGCTCATCTTGACATTACACTCATCAAGACCTTTCATTTGAGTACCCACATGCATTTTTGATATATTTTTTATATATACATATATATATATAATATATATATAAATATATGAAATATATGAAAAATTGATGTTGGTATTCAAATGAAAGGTCTTGAAAAGTGTAATGTCAGAGTGAGCTTATATCTATAAAAATGTTATTAGTTAAGAAAATACAGTGCAATTGAACAAAAGTCATTTATTTATTGATATTAATAATAATAAAATCTTTATTTAGGCATGTGGAGGTACCAACAGAAACGTTCTACCAGTTCCGGTTCCAATCCCAGTTCCAGTGCCGTACCCAGTTCCAGTTCCAGCGTCTCTCTGGAACAACGGTGACTTCGCAGCAGCGGCAGCCTCTTCAATGATAACCGCGAGCAAGTCAGACAACCTTAAACTAAAAAACGTCGGACCTTGGTTCTCTTGGCACCCTAAATTCATCTCCCAATCAGAAATTCACCGAAGTTTTTACTGCGACCCCAAAATAATGGACTCCGGCAGCTTCAACACCGCAGACTCTATATTTACATTCCGGCCCGACGGTTCTTTAGTTGGCCACTACGAAAGTATTTACCACGGCGCTCATTTGAAGTTCGACGAACCAACTCTTAACCTTAAAGACCCTCCAAAGGAAGACAATGAAAAATCATCAGTTCAATCTAATAATGAAGACACTAATCTTGAAATTAATTGCAATGGGTCCGATCATGAAATAAGTAACCAAGTGCCATTAGATGATAATAATTCTCCTTCAATTCCAGGTAAAAAATTATATTATTCTAACAATATTAATTAATAATTTTTTCAAAAAAAAATTGCATTTTTAATTTTTTTACAAATTTTTTTTATTAATAAAATTATTACAAAAAAATTATTAGAAAAAATTGCACATGTAAAAAATTTTAAAAGCTACACGTGCAATTTTGTAAAAATATTTTTTTATTGCTAATTCAAGTAATAAAAAAAAAAAAAAATAAAAATTTTTATAATACTAAAGTTAGCCATTTTTAATTTTTTAATTATTTTTTATTTATTAAATAAAAATTAAAAAATATTTTTAAAAAATTGCACTGATAGTTTTTAAATTTTTTTACAAGTGCAATTTTTTTATTTTCTTTTTTTTCTAATAATTTTTTAATTAAAAAAACTTTTAAAAGTTTTTAGATCTCACCTGACTTAATTTTTATACTTTTTCAGATAACAACAATGAAGATGATGATGAAGATGAAGAAAATTCAAGCTCTTGTGCAGACAGCAGTGATTTTGATGATGAAGAAAAATCTCACCGTTTTTCTCGAGTATTTGTTGTCAATAATGATGATGATGATGATGATGATGAAGATGATGAAAATAAAGAAGAAGAAAGTTTATTGCCAAGTTATCAAGAATCAGCTGATCAAAATGGCGTAATTCTCAAAACCATTAATTCTAACCTCGAGAATATTCCAGTGGCGCCATCATCGGATTCTAAAAGTACTAAAAGTGTTTCTAATAATGACATTAGCTACTCAGCTGACTCAGCGGATAATTTAGACACCATAACCTTAAAATCAATCCGAAATATAAACCCTGAAATTTTGACAGCTGACTCAAAAAGTGACAATGTGATTAATAATAATAATAATAATAATAATAATAATAATGACAACAATGTGATTAGTGAGTCAATAGTGCCAGATTCATTAGAAGTGTGTAAAAGTGATAAAAGTGCCTTAGAAAAAAATGCAAAAGAATGGGTGTCATATAAAAAAAATAAAAGGATTGTCAGTGATGATACATTAAGCGAATCAATGTTAGAGCGGCAGGTGAAGGCAGTGAGTGAAGTGAGTGAGTTACTGGTGGGAGAAAATGAGGTGGATGGAAGTGAAACTACAGGTGGGGAGCCAGAGCCAGTGTGCCGGGGAACGCCACTGGAGTCAGTCGAGCTTGGCTTTCCCTCTAAAATAAAAAATTATGACAATAAATACTCAAATAAGTACAAGAGTCTTGTGATGATTACATCTAACGCGTACCAACCAGTGAGTGTTATAACCTCTGATACTACGACTCTGCTTCAGCCAGATGACAGTAGTAAGACGCAATGTGATCCTCAACAACAGTCGTCAGGGCTGGCCGGGTACTACCATCTGGCGCTGGAGGCGTTGGAAACACCTCAACGAGCAGCCTCGGGACCACGTCGACCGTTAATGGTGAAGCGACGCAGTGATCACCCAACCGAGATAACTGACAGTTCTGAATTATCAGCTGATTTTAATAATTTTGAAAAAACAGCTGATTTTAACAATTTTGAAAAAACACCTGATTTTAACAATTCAAAAAAATCAGCTAATTTTAGTAATTTTGAAAAAACAGCTGATTTTGATAATTTTGAAAAATCAGCTGATTTTAATAATTTAAAAAAATCAGCTAATTTAAACAATTTTGAAAAAACAGCTGATTTTGATAATTTTAAAAAATCAGCTGATTTTAACAATTCAAAAAAATCAGCTGATTTTGACAGATCAGCTGATTTTAATAATTTTGAAAAATCAGCTGATTTAAATAATTTTGAAAAAACAGCTGATTTTAATTATTTTGAAAAATCACCTGATTTAAATAATTCAAAAAAATCAGCTGATTTTAATAATTTTGAAAAAACAGCTGATATAAATTCCCGCGAGTGTTCAGTACAAAAAAGTGACAGTTTAAAACTTTCTCCCACCCAGGTAGACGTAATCCTGGAGGAAGGTCTCGCGGACGACGACTCCTGGGTGGAGGAAGTGTCCCACGATGAGGACGAGCAAAGTACCCCAACTACCAACACAGAGGACAGCTCTGAAGACGAAGTAAACCACTTATCCGGTGACCGGGAGGAAGAATTGCGTGGTTACCACCGCCAAGCGATAGACTTTACCCTTCACACCATAGTCGAGGAGTCTTGCGAGGAAAGTGAGGCTGAGTTTAGCCTCACCTGGAAATCCAAGCGCCCGCCATCTACATCTGAGTTAGAGAAGTACTTTTTTTTCGGGCTAGGTGGCGTTGAGTCACGTCCTGAAAATCCAGATTCTGAATTAGAAAATCTGAATAATGATGACTTAAAATGTCTCTCAGCTGATACTTTAAGTAGGGAAATTGACAGCTTGTCAGAGACATCTAGTGTTTACTCAGAGGGTCTAGAGAGTCTTAAGGACCCTGGAATAAATTCCGACAGTGCCAATGACAATTCTTCCCGGCTTGAAAAATATTTTTTGTCGGAATTTTTGGGCTTTAGAGAAGATCGTAGGGACTCGGATGGTTCTGTAGGAAGTGACTCGGAAGGCCGGCCGAGTCCTGAAGCTCAACGGAGGAAAAGGTTGGTCCGAGCTCGGGGTACTGGCAGGTCTCACAGCTCCTCATTGGACAATCTTTTAGCTCTGACTCAAAATTCAGGCTCGCAAAATTTAACCAGTCAAAATTCACTCCAAGATTTGACCAATCAAGACTCTCCAGACGAGTCTGACGACTCCACAGTCCCTGATGAAGACGTAGCTGGGTTCGTTGAAGGTGTTGACACGGTAAAGCGTAAAAAAAAGAAGCGCAATTTAGGAAATCATGCTGAGGGTAGCTCAAGCAACAAGAGCCCTGAATTGGAGGAAGACAAGGATGTTGAGGCTGCTCAGGTTACTTCTGAGGAAGAAAGGTCCAAGACTCCGCAAGCTGAGGCTCCAGATGAGGACGACAGGAAGCAGTCCAGGGACTCTGGGTTTGTTGGAAGCTGCGATGACTTGATCCAACCTGAGCCTGTTGATAATTCTACTCCAGAATTGAAGAATTCTGATGAGAATGTTGATGATAAAAAGGAATTCGTGGCGATTCCTATTAATCATTCTTTGTCTAGAAAGGACAGCTTTAATAACTGGTCCAGTGATGAGGAGACTAATCTGATGATGTCCAAGATGCGGCAGTTTTTCAAGACTATGGTTGCTAATTCGAATTCTGCAGCTGCGCCGGTGGTTGTTCAGCAGGCTCAAGAACTGCCACGGGGCAAGCGGACCAAGCCGCCGCAGTTGGTTTATTTTGAGAATGAATTGACTCGGTTGATGAAGACAGTTCCGGGGATCAGGGATGATCAGGTTAGATAGACATCTTTATTATAATAAAGAAATTACATTATATCTCGTGAAATATTGAGATTTTTTAAGGTATAAGCTCATCCTGATGTTACACGAATGAAGAGCTTTCATTTGAGTACCTACATCAATTTTTCATATATTTTATATATTTATATATATTATATATATGTATATATGAAAAATATACCAAAAATGAATGTGGGTACTCAAATGAAAGCTCTTGATAAGTGTAACATCAAGATGAGCTTATATCTTTGAAAATGTCAATAATTGAGAAATGATAGATACAAGAAACCTTATACCTTGTGAACTATTGACCTTTTTAAAGATATAAGCTCATCCTGACATTACACTCATCAAGACCTTTCATTTAAATAGCGACATCTATTTTTCATATATTTATATATATTATATATATATGTATATATGAAAAAT